TGTACATAGTATACAATTTAGGATTTTGACAATGAGTCGGCTGTAGACATTTCCTTAACTTTTGTAGACTGCGATGAAACATACTTTACCAGGCATTCCGCCTCCCGTGGGTGACATGAATGCGGAACACTAGGCTGGGACCAAACCACACAAAAGATTTTGGATCTATCAGGTTAGGTAGTTTAACAGTTAACAGGTCAAAAGTTCCATTTTGCATGATATTTGGTATTCGGAAATATAACCATGATTTTTACATTTCAATGTGGTTATATTCCATACATAGTCCGTGTAAACGCATTTAAATGTGAATGTCATTGTTAAATTTCCAAATATCAAGCAAAAAGGAACTTTTAAACTGTAAACTGTTAAATCGTTGAACTCCTTCAACTGATGAATGGTATTCACTTAAATTAGGAAAGGATAATTTTGAACCTAGCATTGTTGTGTTCCTGTGCACAACTGAATAAGATGCCAATTTGTAACATGTTATATCCTCATTAAATAAAATAAAGCATTTGTACCTAGTGTATAGTCTAGGTACAACTTGAACCTCCATATACAAGTTTGTATATCCTGAACATGTACACACATCTATCATGCGTAAAAAAAAAATTGTCCAGGGAGGGCTCTCTATTTAGAGTGTAATCTACTCTGTTAGGCGATAGCTGAACTCGAGAATCCGATACCAACTCCCAGCAGGCTCCGTGTCACGAATAGGCAGTTATGATGAGGTTGACAATACATGTCTGATCGTTACATCGAACTCCTGTTTTTATTGTGTGTATCAGATTCTTAATTTTAGCTTTCGACTTTAGCTCATCCAACATAGTTGATTACCGCGACAGTCTTTTTTACTACGCGCACTGTCATATTCTGTCATACTACTCTGATTCTATAGACACATTCCCAACCGTTCCCTGGATGCATTGTGTCTCATTTGCAGCCCTGCCGTGAAGCAGCTGATGGTTCGTGTACAGTAGTTGGACTCATCTTTATTTTTCTCTCTCGTACAAGCTGCTCCGGGGAAGACGTCCAGACACAGCCCTCTTTATTGATCTCAAGCTTTCTGAAAGAGTCGTGTTGAAAATGTAGATATTTGAGCATATTGTGCACTCGTAGAAGGTGCGCCCTGTGAAAAGTGTTTCGCAGACCGATGTACTTTCTCCTGTTTCAATAGGATGCATTGGCCCCGTGCTTATACGAATTATATGGCGGCGTTACCGTTGTTTATACATAGTAGATACAGTTGTAACCTTTTCACTTTATTACTTACTATTCTGGAAGTCGGGATTAGTGTTGCTATTGACTCGAAGGAAGTACAAAGCCCTGTGTAAAGGCGCATAGCACCTGACTGCCTTGTCTAACTGCCCCGTGCTTTTCCACAGCGCATTGCCCACATCTCTGGCACCGTAACCCCAGGTTTCGTGGTATGTTCTGCACAAACTTTATTTGACTGCATGCCTCTAAACCTGTGCAGCAACAAGTCGGTTAAATTTGAAAACAATTTCGAATACTTTTTGAAAAGATAATCATGATGGCTAAAGCGAGTGCTTCGCCTCTAAATGTAGATTGAACGTCCAAAATGCACTGATATCTTTAGTGTTCAACCAGCGTGGACCTAAGAGGTGCTCAACACATCGTTTGTTCGCCTAAACGGAAGTCTAGTGTAATCACGGTGTTAAACATCTGCAGGTGTTCTGCCAGTTGAACAAATTATTTATCAGTGTCAATATTTTTAAAAACGAGTTCTTTAAATGTTTTGTTCATGTGGGTGAGGTGAGTCTGTTCCCGGCGGATATAGTGTACTATAATTTTCTTGCGTAGAACAGAAACGAAAAAAATAAGTACGATATTCTAGTCGCTAGTTAAATATCTTAGTTATAAACATACGTAATTATAAACAGATGATATTTACTATAACTACTTGCCTGTTGTTGCACACAATACCACGTACTGTAGCTAGTTTTGTGAGTAAAAAAGTACCAGTAATGCATGTCTTATGTAGATAAGAACAAATGTTCTAATTTCGGAAAGACTTATTTTGTGTGTGCTTCATATCTTTCCGTATATTGTAGTTTCATTCGGTTTGTCCTTTGAGGTGATCAGGGCCAACACAAGGACTTGCCGAAGTCAAATAGTCTCGTGCCATAAATGGCATACTGAAAGAACAAGTTTTTTTTTGGTCCAGTTTTTCGGTTATGTGAAACGGTCCACCGGGCCGGGTCTGTATCAAGCTGCTTCTGTTGCTATTTTAGGATCGACCTTTCAGGAAATGAGATCGAAGAGGTGCGGGCCCTCCGGGACTGCCAAAGTATTCCAGGGAAAACATGGGAAATTGGCGCGCGGGGGCGACTAATCTAACATCAGATTACAACATATTTCACCCGCTGCTCCCCCCGGCCATTCTCCCCTTTCCCCCGTTACTCTACACCCCCCTGGCCACCACTCCCTCCCCCTCCGCCCCGTTCTCCACTGGCTACTGAACCTTACTTTTCTTTCGTGGCCCCCTCCATCCCAGTGGGCTTTCGGGGTCGGAGGTGGTGGTCGCCTCGTGGCCAATGCTCTGCTCATACCTCAACCGCACCGGGCGGCAGGACGCTAGGGCGAGGGGAATGGACCCTGGAAAACAAGTGCATTGACAAATTAAGTATACAAGTTTACACTTCCTTCAGTTGGACGCACTTTGTTGAAAGTGTCAAGTAAGACTGAACAACTGCCAAGTTTATCTGTGAAAATTCACCAAATGGCATTTTATTGTTTACACTGATGAACTAGGTGTGCAACTGTTTAACATTTGCAAGTGTGCAACATCAAGTTAAAAACTTGCTAGTGTACAACTCAAAGAATTCAACTTGCAGTTGCACACTTCGTTCATCATGTGTTGACGTGTCCGTTTCTTACATGTTTTCTATATATAATAAGTTCGGTGAAGACGATTGTCTACGAACGAGCGAGAGAGTGATATGTATCCTTCCTCGGGGAGAGGGGTGGTGGGTGGGGGAAGAGAGAGGCAGACAGGGGAGTGGACGCTCCCTGCTGGTCGATTGGCCTATCCTTCGACAAGAATCTTGCTGCTGCTCTGGACCCGTCTGGGCCGAACCGTGCTGATAACTCGTAGGGAGAAAGGGGAGAACGCTTAAGTCGCTTGTCCCCCAAAATGACACGCTTTCAGGCGCTTCATGTGAGTACGCCCCTCTGAACCTGGTTTAGGTACTTTTCCGAATGCTTGAATGACTGATACAGCCAAAGCGAAATTTTAGCTAGGGTCATATGGGGGGGGGGAGAGCCATTTCACGAACTTTTGTCTTTTCCAGCATAAAAAAGGCATTTGGTAAGTCCTACTGCTTTTGGTCGATGAAACATAGTCCCAGTATTGAAATTTGTGTGTGAGTGTATACTACAACTAGGTAGTTGTACGGCTGACCACGTCTCGCTGAAACCCGAGTCAAGTGTCAAGTAGTGGAAAAATGTACACAAAAATACGGGCCTATGGCCCGCCATTTTTGTGTACCATGCAGGGTTGTAATTTTTTCACTTAGTTTCGCCAAAAATACCCTTTAGCACCTCAACGGTATGGGCTAGAGCAAAAAGGCATTATACCTAAAACGTCTAAGGACAATATTTTGTAGCTAGCACCGGACCTCAGTGCGCATAACTAAATCAGATACAATAATAGTGTAACAAGCTAGATAATAAATGCGCGTTGTTTGCTTTAATATTGTACTTGAACCTAGTTAAACACGCAGGAAGTCCAGTGCTAGTTACAATAATTGTCCGTAGACGTTGGGATTGGAAGCACCTGTATTTTTCCAAGCCCGGCGTGCTGACTTTGGCATTTTTCCGAGTGTAGGCGAGCGCAAGTTGGGTGATCAGCGGGACTGTCGGTGCTGGCGAAGACTGCGTGTCACTTTGAGTTGTTTGTACTAGCGGATTTCCGCCTGTCAAGCGGAATGCCCTCTCCTTCTAACCTCACCCCATTCTAGCCCCTTCCCTCCACCCCTCCCTCCCTTTCCTTGAGCGCCTGAAACGGTATGGCGAAATTGCGCTCCTCCCCTCACTCGTCGATAAATCAAACGCATTGTATGAATTCCACCCGTGACCCCGTCCTATCTCTTCCCCTTACCCTTTGTTATTCTATTCGCTAAAGTCTTGCTACCTTTCTTCCTTTCCCCTTGTGCCGAGAGTATCTTCATGACGAGGACGACGAACTGGCCGCATTTATTCAGCGTCGCTACGACAATGGCTCTGACTTCGGGGAACACCCGTTGGAATCGGTTCTGTTGGCGCTCATGCTTGTGAGGTACCTTGCCCGGTTCCGCTGTTGGCTCACCCGCTCACCCCCACCATCCTCACCCCCAAGGCCAGACGGTACGGTCACACCTGCTGTTCGAGACATTTACATAAATTCATCATAAACCTCATCGATGTTCGATGCTATCCCTGCCCTACACCGCAAATGCCAAACAGCACCCTTCTCCCTCTCCCCTCCCCACCTCTCCCTCCCTCTCTCTTTCTCTCCAACCCTCTTCCTCCGTCCCTCTCTCTCTTCCCTCTCTCTTTCCCCCTCTCTTTCCCCCCTCTGTCTCCCCTTCTCCCTCCTTAACTCTCCCTCGAAGGGGAAATCACTTGCGAAATAGTTCGTACACCTTCCCCCGAAATAGTTCGAACCGAAAAAAAGACAAAATAGTCGCGAAATGCCCCTGAAATAGCCCGAAATAC